TTCGCTGTTGCAGGGCTTGTGTGCCATCATCTCCAGAGAACTTCGAGCTTTGTTTTATGAAGGTGTGGTTGTGCAGGGTCGTCTCTGGTTTGGGGCGTGCGTGGGGTGCAAAGGAGACCTTGCGTGGTACCAGAAGCTAGCTGAGCTGAGCCGCTGCTTCAACAAAGTCGTCTGCAAGGACAACGAGGAGATGTGTCACGAATGCAAAGCAGGGAGTGCTGCTCGACCGTTTGAGGATATCTCGTCCTCCCCGAGCTGGGGCTCCACCATTTTTGCAGAACGCCCGTGGACTCAGCCTCCTACAACGGGCCTGTTGCAAGTGCCTTGTGACCGTGCTGCGCCAGAGCGCATCTTGCGCAGGGACATATTCCATAATACCAAGGCCCAAAAAGTTCGAAACGTATGAAAGGTGGTTTCCAATGTGTTTCTTGGCCCATACATCACTGTGTGCCTGGTCCCTGCAAGGTGGGCTGCTTCCAAGACTTCATAGCAAGTTCTATGCTTCTCGTCGCGGACTTCGGGTACTTTAACGATGGAAACGCCAACGCGCGCGATAAGATTTTGGAAAGGATGCATGGGCATTTTCGCCTCTTCTGTTTGGCCACAGGGCCACATGGATGATTTAGGTTTTGTATTTTTCTTACCTTCATTTCATCTGGGAATACAGGGTTTACAGGGTTTGTAGGTTTCTAAGGGTTTGCGTAGGGTTAATATTTTTGCTTGACATAGGGTTTTCAAATATGTACATGGTTCGCGATTGCATTTTTGAAAGCAAGGAAATCTCCTTCGCTGATGCGGTTCACCAAATGCTTTTTGAACGCACCCTCCCGAAAGCATTATCCATGGGCCAAATGCAAAGGGTCAGACGCTATGCATCTGATGAAATGGCTTATTGTCCTTTCTGCGTCCTGCACACGCGACCTACGTTCTGAGGACCACAGGGCTGCTCTTGCAGCAATACATTCCGGAGCTCGTGCTGCTGTTTCGTGGCTGACTGCTATGTACCAACATGGTCTTTGGTGGAAACGGGCCTGCGCAGCTGCCATGAACTGGCAGGGCAGAGTGTTTGTAAGATGCTACAATCATTTAGCATGGCTCTGCCTACATCACTACAAATTCCCAGGCTACGCCATGAAGCCTAAACTCCACATGGTCTGTCATGGCCTTCACGAAGTGAGCACTTCCCTAGGTAGAGGAGACGAGTATTTCCCGAGTTTTTTAATGTTTGCCTGTGAAGGCAACGAAGACATGGTGGGGCGTGTGGCTCGCTTGAGTCGCCGAGTGCACCAGACCCGAGTTTGTGAGAGGATTCTGTTGCTGTACCAGACAAAAGCCTACGCGCTCAGCAAGAAATTCAAGAAAGAGCTTTCCAGGAAGCGGCCGCGGCCGAGCGACTGAGGCTTACTAAGGCTTCGGCGAGAGCTCGAAGTCAGCAGCGCAGGCTGAAGCACACGGCACACGGCGGCCATGACATCAGGATGGACATGTAGCTAACGGGATGAAACAATGGGGCTCTGTATCCGGGGAGGATCCCGTACGTCTTTTTCTATTTAAGCTGGCTTGGGCGTAGTTCACCTCTACACTGCAATGGAGCCGGCACCGCTGTTTCCTGGAGCTGTTTCCGTTGGCATGCCTTGCAAAATGCAACCAATTGGATTACCCGTGAATGTGGCGATGCGTGAGAAACAGCATCCGGAATCGATCGCCTTTGTAAACTCCCATGAGACCCCCCCTTATCCCACCCTGAACCCTATATGATATGGCGCAAGCTTTGCGCAGCAGTGAGCTGGGACCCTGCTCCGCTCTTAAATCTGTCACCCCTTTGGATCGTGAACTCTTTTCAGTACACGAGAACTCTTTTTCTGAGGATCTACTCTTTTCTGAATCGTCGCCTGATTTTGATGTCTTTCTGAGCGAGAACTGTTATTTTAGCCCCCCGGCATCTCCAGGTAAACCCCAAGGCCAGGCCCAATCCCGATTTTTTTTTATGGCTTCAATTTACTTTCAAGGGCCGCGAAAACCGAGCTCCCGAGGCCGAAGATTGAGTCCCGAGCCTGAACTCCCTCGATGTTGTCCTCCTGCGCGTACCTGTACTTTTTTCGTCTCGGCTAAAGCTCCCTCAGGGACTTTCTGTTGCAACAGTCCGCGCAAGAAGGGGACAGGTTCAGTGGATTCACGTCAAGAAGGTTCTAGGATGGGAAAGGGCCATAAAACATGCTTCGGTCGTCTGTACACCCTGAAGCTCGATTCCATAGCCGAACTTCCAACACGAAAACGAAGGGCTCTTGAAAGACTTTCGGACTTCACAGTTCAGGGTGTAAGGTTTTGCTTTCCAAAAGCTCGGAAAAGGCAGTGCCGCCGTGTCGATGCGGTCAACTCGAGCAGCGTCGCTTGCGAGGCCAGCTGTCTGCTGTCGTGTGTTGAGACTGCTGGGCTTGCGTACGATGCTGACTGCAAAACAGCCTGCGCGTTTTTGGCTCGGTACAGGGCTCCCTCCGGGACCCTGAGGCAGCAAGGCAAGATCACAGAAGACGTTCATGCATCTGCATTCTTGTGATGCAAAACCCCTGAAAGCCGGCCAAGTGCTTCTTCGTGAACACCCCTTGAAGGCCTGAAAGCCACCACCATTGTTCCTTTCAGGGCCACCCTCAACCCCAAACCGTAAACCCTGAACCCGAAACCCTAAACCTTCAACCCTAAACCCAAAACCTTACACCCTTCTTCCTTTCAGTGGTGCCAGGAAACCCTATACTTAAAACCCAAATACAACTTGACGGGGACCGACGGGTCCTTGAACACGTTCCACGCCATTTGGCGTCATGGCACCTGTCATGAAGTGGTGTCGTCGTCCGTCGACAACAGCAAATTCGACCTAGCGCCCAGTCTCCTTTGTGGTGAAGACGCTGAGGACGATGCCCGAGACCTTTTTTTGGAAACATCTGCTTGGCGGACATTCTAAGTGTCGACGTGCGGTCAGCGCTGTTGCCTGTTGCAGCTGTAAGTTAAACAAAGTCCATCGCATCATGCTTTGCCCTGCCCCAGTCAGGACGGACCCGTGGAGAAGCAATTCGTAATGGTGCTGTTGGCAGACACGCAAGAACACTTTTGGGCGCCTCGGCAGCACAGCATGACGGCCGGTCAGATCATATGTCTGCGTGGAGAGGCGATTCTGCGTGAAATGTTTCGACCAAGGCACGGAAGGTGCTGTCCAGGCTGCATCACGCTCAAGGGCTGCCGGGCCACGTATGTCGTGGACTCTTGCGTGAGGTTGACGCGCCCGGCTATACATGACTGTATGTTTATGGGGCGCTTGCTGCAACGCGAGGCGGAATGGTCTCCGCCGCGCTATTTGCCTCCTGTCCTGAAGGGCATCACCGAGTTCCGGGACTGCACGCGTGGGATCCACCTGTAGGTCAGGTAAGGTCGTAACTCGAACCCCGACCCCCCAACCCCTCGCTCGGGGTGTGCGCAGGTGCCGCAGATGCTTCGGCGCCCAGCGCAATGGCGCCTGTTCGGGTCTGGTAGCATAGGATGACCCACAAATGCACGTGACCAGACATCCCCCAAGCCCCAAACCCTAAGCCCGAAACCCGAAGGGGAGACTCCGGCAGCCAAGGCAAGAGCGGTCGGAGCGACAACAGCGACTGGGTTCGGAGCACGGACGTCCCGGCGCCTGGGGTTCTGGCATTTTAAATTTCAAGGTGGCAGGAGTCGTGCTTGACCGGCGTGGTGGCAACTGGACCCCTGAACCTGTACCCAAAACCTCTACAATCTTTTGTAGGGTGCCCGAAACCACTGAATCCTGAACCTCAAGGTTAAACGTTAACGCGAAGCACGCAACGCCGAAATGCTCAACAGTAAATAGCAAGTACGCAACGCTGAGCCGACTGGCAGGTGCCGCCATTGCGAGACGCCCGGACTGCGCTGGAACAGCACAACAACGAGAGCATCAGGTCCAGTCTGCGGTTTTCGGGTTTTAGGGGGGTTTGGGGTGTTGGAGTTTCAGGGTCGGCGGTTTGAGTGCCCTAAACCCTGAGTTCCTAAACCTGAAAGGAACAACCCTGGCCCTAAACCCTGTGCCCGAAACCCTCACACCGGTGCATCCTTTCGTTACTGGATTCTTGGTTGGCGTGCTCAGTGGATAAGGTACCTGTACGAAGCTCTACAAGGGAAGCTAAGCTAAGGAGCCTGTGCCTTGGGGAGTGTTAGAGATGTCGAGGTTACCTGCCGCAACCCCAGGGTTTACACAGGGTTTAGGGTCTAGGGCTCCAACAGGATGCGGCCGCCGTCCAGAGCCTCACCTCCAGCGCAGTGAAGACGATCGAACTCAACGAGCGCCAGGGCTTTTATGGTTTAGGGTAGTCGTCCCAGGAATGTCGGCCCGAACGCGGTCAGTGCGCCTGTTCCGGCGGTCTCTGCGGCGTCTCGGGTCGGCATTTATCAAAATTTACATCTCCTGAAGTCCTCAACGTCCTGTTCACAACAGGAAATTCGGACCAAAACGCTTCCCGTGCGCCTGTTCCGGGCGGTCTCTGGGGCGTTTCGGGTCGGCATTTCTGAAACCCTGAACCCCTCAAGCTCTGAACCTCGGCCATTGTCATTTCCGAGCATAGCATCTCTAAAAGTTTAAAACTGGCCCTTGCTGGGTCTAGGGTGGTAGCAGATGCCTCGAGTCCCCTGGGCGATACGGAAGAACGACACAACGCAGGCTGCAGTATCCATGCGACTTCCTGTAAACCTGATGCCGTGCTCCCGCCCAGTGAAGGCTTCGAGTTCGCTTGCGACTCCGACAAGGATCGCTGTAGCTCACCAGCCGGCTCTAAAACGAGCTGTGTGACTCCCACAGGGATCACTGCGCAAAACCTGGCGCGCAAAGCTGTAGCCTGGGGCCAATGCGAGGAAGCAAGATTCTGCTACTTCATTGCTCGTATGTGGGCTCAGAGTCCAGCGCAGCTCCCACAGGGACTGCAGTGACAGTGCTCTCTCTTTTTCTCTCTGCCATGGAGCCGCTGTTGCTGTCCTGCGGCACCGTGGTCCGCGTCACATTGGCAGACGGCCGGCCGCTGGCCAAAGTGCCCGACGCTCAGTTCATGTCTTGCATTCAGGTAATTTCGGTTTCGGCCAGCGCTCCCACGAGAGATCCCTGCCAGTCCAGGATTTGGCAGCATTCGGACATCAACGTCGTGCGGGTGCAACTCCTCATTCCGTCGCCGACCCAGTCCGGCCGCGACGCACACCACGTGACCCTGTCCTCCGCCGAGGCCATACTCCGAGCACCTTTTGCCACGGCAGCGCGTGCAGCGCCTGCGCGCGGAGGACTATGGCAGGTCTTGCTACAGTTGTCAGGCCTGGTGCATTTTGCCCTGTACGGGCGCATGGACCATGCGCGAAGGCGTGGAAAGAAGAACTGGATGCTATACGTGCAGGCTTGCGCCCCGCTTTGTTTCGGTGCAGCTCGTCCGAGCGTTCATTGCCGACGTCGCGCGAGCGTCGTCTCACGCCCAGGTCATGTTGCGGAAGTCCGCGTGCTGTCTGAAAGTGGTTGGCTGAGCCGTGCTCGGAGGTAGCTGCGATCGCGTGTGTAAATCTGTAAATGCTGGTGTCAACCGCAAACCTGAACCGCCGTCCGGCAGGGCCCCTGACCTAAACGTGCAACCTGCAGCTCAAAGGGTTTCGTATTTTCACGGTTGCCACGTGCGCCCAGACCATCGTGCGGCGATCCAGCGGGCCCGAGCAGGTGGACGCCCCAGATGCAAATCAACGTATAGCATCTTTGCTGCGAATGCGAAGCAGGATACGAAGCGGCTCTGGCGCAATTGCGGGCCAGTCGGGCACCTGGGGTGTTTCCTCTACAGTGCATCTGCAAGCACAACCTTGACGGCCGCTTAAAAATTGTGTTTTTTCGCGCTTTGTTTTTTGTCTCCAGTCTCCGAGAAGGAGACCGACCAGAAGAAACGAACCGAACGTCCTTTTTCTTCGACAAATCACATTTCCTCGCCCGTTCGCTTTCATGGGACCTGCTACGTGCTCTATGAGAAAGCGGGCGGGCGTGCAAGCTACAGCGTGGGTGCCCGGACACGACCTTTTTCCCAGTGTAAGCCATGACACAGGTAGCTCCATCGGGAATGTGTTTTGCTGGCGAGGCCATGCTGCACAAGTTGAGGACATCGAGAAGCGACAGGCTCTCGGATGAAGCTTTCGAGTAGCAGTGGTGGCGCGTCATGTACCCAGGCACCGTGAAAATGAATGCCGAGGCCACGCCGAAGCCATGTTGGAGCAGCGCGCGGGTTGCTTGCTCGATATTGGATAGGAAGAAGCCTCCCTTTCTCTTGTGTTCTGTGGATTACCTGTCATTTGCTTCTTATGTGAAGAGCAGACTCGACCAAAAGAAACGCGCCCATGTCGTCCTTGCTTGGGCTTTACTGGGGCCTGATTCGTGCTCGATGATGCGCAGCTCTGTTGGGCGCATGCTCCCAGACCATGACGCGGGTGGCTCTATCGGGTTTGTGCTTGGCTGGGCGCCGTGAAATGTGATTTTTTCGTGAGGCCATGCTGCAGAAGTTGAGGAAAGCGAGAAGCGACAGGCTCTCGAATGAAGTCCGAGGTGGAGTAGCACCGCATCGTTTTGCCAGGCAGGCTGAATAATTATGACTGCCGAGGCCACGCCGAAGCCATGATGGGGCAGCGCATAGGCTGCTTGCTCGAGTGCGCTTGAGCGATTGCGTTTCCATAAGATCGCAAATAGTGATCAGGACGGCGCGAAGCCGAGCTACGTGCGGCCAGGCTGAGAGGAATGCCCCAACCGCACCCGCCAGGACTTCTATTGCGACCTTTTTCCGAGAAGGTGCATCTCATGTTATGACCGAAGTCTTCTTCCGGCCGGCCACATTTCAGCCACAGATGTTGCTTTCCGGCACCTCGTGTGAAATGTGGTACTGATGCCAGGACCTGTGCCTGCCGCTGCCGCGAAGAGCGGTCGCAGGGAGCGCGAGCGGGCTGGCAAGCGAAAGCGCGCAGACTGAAACAGGGCCTCGCTCGGAAACAGAACCGGCTGCCGCTGCTGTCACTCCTCTTATCTGCTTTGCTCGTCTCTGACGTTTGGTGCAACAGTTTGCTCTGTCAACCAGACGTCTCGGGCATAGCGGCTCCCTCAGGGATCGCGGTAGTCTGCGTGTCAACGTACCCTCGCCCGCGTCAATCATATGGCGACTGTGCGATGGGGGTCCGATTGCTGCGGCTACAACACTCTGGCGCCTTGGGCGCAACGGTTTTCAGATGCCATCCATGCATTGACACGCTTTTCTACTAAGGCGCTGGTGTTGCGTCGGATGGGCATCCGGCAATCTCTTGCCATGGTGTCAGAGAAGGATGCCATGGTGCGCACTCTCATGGAAGCAATGCACGACTACTGCGGGCTAAAGTGTGGTGCTGTCTACGACGACATTAACAAGCGTGCGGCCGCCAGCAGCCTAATTCGGAGTCGTGCGCGCCGCAAAGCATGTTGTCAGATGCGTCAGTCCGAGGGTTGCAGCCTAGGTGCCAGGTCTTGACCTGTACATGGTGTCAACGCCATGCCAGGATTTCTCCTTCGCAGGCCTAAAGACAGGTCCGTGCTGGAAGTGTCAGAGATGACTTCGTGCGCCAGGCAAAAGAAGCAGTTTCCAACTGCATCGTTTGAAAGGATCGTCCGGCAAGAACGGCAAGCTTTTCAAAGCCTCCATCAAGCGCGTGTTACAAGAAAGGCCACGCGCCGCGCGCTCAGCCATAGTCGACAATGAGTGACAGCTTGAATGTGAAATGCGTCCACTTTTTCAAGGCCGTAATCATGGAAAATGACAAGGGCATCTTGCAAGACAAGGCGCTCACGTGGGCTATCCAGAAGTTAAAAGAGGCGGACTACGCCGAGCCCTCATGCTTCAGCAGAATTGCCAGAGCCTCTGTCGTGCTTTGTTGTTGTTCTGACCGCAGTTGAGGCCGTAGACTACAAGAATTTGAAGACTGCGGAGCTATCGGGTTTGTGCTTGGCTGGGCGCCGTGAAATGTGATTTTTTCGTGAGGCCATGCTGCAGAAGTTGAGGAAAGCGAGAAGCGACAGGCTCTCGAATGAAGTCCGAGGTGGAGTAGCACCGCATCGTTTTGCCAGGCAGGCTGAATAATTGTAAACGCTTGCGCGCGCCGCCTCGGCAGCCGGGCCGGCCCCAGGACAGGAAAGGAGAAAGAGGGTTTCGCAAAAAAAGGGAGGAAAGGCAGAGCGGGTGGGGGGGGGGGGGGGGGGTCGGGGGGTGAGGGGTGGGGGGTGGGGGGGGGGGGGGGTGGGGTGGGGCGTGGGGGGGGGGGGGTGGGGGCAGAGGGGGGTGGGGGGGGGGTGGGGTGGGGGGGGGGGGGGGGGGGGGGGGGGGGGGGTGGGGGGGGTGGGGTGGGGGGGGGGTTGGGTGGGGGGGGTGGGGGGGGGTTTTTGAGGCACTCCTCTGTAGGAGCCACCCACAAGCGGGACCCTCCACGGCATCGGTTTGCAGCTCCTCCAAGGGATTGGGGGGGGTCCCACAGGGTGGGGGGGGGGGGGCGTCACAAAATCCGGCAAGCGGTGGGTTAGGGGGAAGGAGGCCCGATCTGGGTCTGCTTGTTCCAGACGCTTCTCGGCAGGAAGCCGAGGCGAATTATGACTGCCGAGGCCACGCCAAAGCCATGATGGGGCAGCGCATAGGCTGCTTGCTCGAGTGCGCTTGAGCGATTGCGTTTCCATAAGATCGCAAATAGTGTTGAGGACAGCGCGAAGCCGAGCTACGTGCGGCCAGGCTGAGAGGAATGCCCCAACCGCACCCGCCAGGACTTCTATTCCGACTTTTTCCCGAGAAGGTGCATCTCATCTCATGTTATGACCGAAGTCTGCTTCCGGCCGGCCACATTTCAGCCACAGATGTTGCTTTCCGGCACCTCGTGTGAAATGTGGTACTGATGCCAGGACCCGTGCCTGCCGCTGCCGCGAAGAGCGGTCGCAGGGAGCGCGAGCGGGCCGGCAAGCGAAAGCGCGCAGACTGAAACAGGGCCTCGCTCGGAAACAGAACCGGCTGCCGCTGCTGTCACTCGTCTTATCTGCTTTGCTCGTCTCTGACGTTTGGTGCAACAGTCTGCTCTGTCAACAGATGTCTCGGGCATAGCGGCTCCCTCAGGGATCGCGGTAGTCTGCGTGTCAACGTACCCTCGCCCGCGTCAATCATATGCCGACTGTGCGATGGGGGTCCGATTGCTGCGGGTACAACACTCTGGCGCCTTGGGCGCAACGGTTTTCACATGCCATGCATGCATTGACACGCTTTTCTACTAAGGCGCTGGTGTTGCGTCGGATGGGCATCCGGCAATCTCTTGCCATGGTGTCAGAGAAGGATGCCATGGTGCGCACTCTCATGGAAGCAATGCACGACTACTGCGGGCTAAAGTGTGGTGCTGTCTACGACGACATTAACAAGCGCGCGGCAGCCAGCAGCCTAATTCGGAGTCGTGCGCGCCGCAAAGCATGTTGTCAGATGCGTCAGTCCGAGGGTTGCAGCCTAGGTGCCAGGTCTCGACCTGTACATGGTGTCAACGCCATGCCAGGATTTCTCCCTCGCAGGCCTAAAGACAGGTCCGTGCTGGAAGTGTCAAAGATGACTTCGTGCGCCGGCCAAAAGAAGCAGTTTCCGACTGCATCGTTTGAAAGGATCGTCCGGCAAGAACGGCAAGCTCTTCAAAGCCTCCATCAAGCGTGTGTTACAAGAAAGGCCACGCGCCGCGCGCTGAGCCATAGTCGACAATGAGTGACAGCTTGAATGTGAAATGCGTCCACTTTTTCAAGGCCGTAATCATGGAGAATGTCAAGGGCATCTTGTTAGACAAGGCGCTGACGTGGGCTATCAAGAAGTTAAAAGAGGCGGACTACGCCGAGCCCTCATGCTTCAGCAGAATTGCCAGAGCCTCTGTCGTGCTTTGTTGTTGTTCTGACCGCAGTTGAGGCCGTAGACTACAAGAATTTGAAGACTGCGGAGCACGGCATTCCACAGGGCCGCCAGAGAATCTTCGTCGTTGCCATCCAGCAGAAGCACCTGTTGTCATCGCTTGCCAATATATTCCCGGCGCCCATCCCCGAGGCCATCCAGCTCAATCGCGACAGTCCCTTGACTCAACCCTGAGCGCCTCGTGACACAGGCTTCATCCGTGAAGGTGTCGGCATTCATCGATGAGAACGCACGATCGGACGAAGAAATGGTGGAGGAGGCATCGCAGTCGAAAACCTTCAAGAAGAACCTGACTCGTGTTGGCCACTCAGGTCAGCAAGTCGCACGGACGAGCCCCGAGAAGGCATATACGGTCGAGTGTTCTGCACTGAGGCCATCAAGAAACACGGCCTCAAGCGCGTCCGCCGGCATGGCTTCATCGTCGACGTCGCTGCCGGGAAGCACAAGCGCCGCGGCCCAGCAGTCACGGTCACGGCCTCGCGAGTTGCACGGACCTGAGCTATAGCGTTGGCCCCAACCAGGCAGTGTGGGGACCGGCGTGCCCCCACGCTGACAGCGTCCCGTGGAGGCGGCCGCGGTTGGTATCTCCCACACCGACGCCAACGCGTGAGCGTCACCGAGATGGGCCGTCTGCAAGGCGGGCCTTCACGGAATTCCCTTTCTTCACCCTTGTCTATCCCCTGATCCAGGTTTGCCTGATGATCTGGTCGCCAAGTTCCTCCAGACAGCGCCCAAAAGCCGTGTTGGACACGCCCTCGGAAACGCCATCTCCACGAACGTTCTAGAGCGCTTGGCGGGGCGCGTCCTGCTGGCTTCTGGCTTAATCAAGAAGCCCCTGCCCGATTTTTGGTTGGACGTGGTGCGCAAGCTTCCCCCGAAGCAGGCCTGTCGAGTCTTGTCGGCGTGACTTTTGCAGGCGCATTGTGTCAAGCCTGTTCGAGAGGCTTGGAAGAAGATCCACGCAAAGCGCAAGAGCGGCTGAGTCTGCGTGTGTGGCAGCGACAATGTGCCTGCATATGTGCTGAAGTGACATTTCCGCAACTTTACTCGCTTTTTGTTTTGACTGATACTACATAGTCCTGTTCTGATTGAATTTCGCCGGCTCTGATAGCCACAGACAGAAAAACTTGGCGGTTGCTTTCGGGCGACAACGTCGCACGTGCTGGACGTGGCATCTGCTTTGCGCTCGCTCTTGGTGCTCCTATTTGCAATCAAGACTGCCAGTGTATTTTGCAGCCATTGCAGCTCAAATTGAATGACTCGCTTGCGGACCGACGGCGTTCTGCGCTTCTGACATGGCGTGTTGCAACGCCGCCGACAAGTGTTGCAACGCCGCCGACAAGTGCCAGCTTGGCGACGGGGCGGAGCATAGAGTCCAGAAATCCAGGCCTGTACTGAATTTTACAAAGACTAGACGCAGGATGGGAAAATACAGTTTTACGGCTCCCAAAGGGACCCCGGTAGAACAGCACTGCAGCATGAATGCACGACTGTCGACCGGCAACAAAACGACCGAAGACGAGAAGTCGACGGCTGCTGTCACCTTGTTGCTTGATTGCCTTTGCTTCTGGACGCATGCGCGCGCAGTACTTATCTGGACTTCGAACGCTTGCCCAGTGCCTGCATGATTGTGCAGTAGCCATGTGCTTCAAGTGCTCGGACATGTTGAGGCGGTTTTGAAAGGCACCGCGGTGGAATAGCACAAGAAGTCAGGCACCATGTGTGCATGAGTACAGGTACTGCAGTAGCCCAAAAACAAAACTCGTCACAGAAGTGCAAGTTGTAGGGTTCGGTGCCGTACATTGAGCATGTTGGTTCCCACAACGTCGAGCGGCGGAGAAGAGAGCGAGGCGGTGACCGAGAAGGAGCTGCTCGCCATCCGCGAGCAGGTGCTTGGATTTCCGGCCCCGCAGCAAGATCTGCTACTGCGGATGCTTCGCCTTCCTCCGCAGCAGCAAAATTTGGTCCAGAGTGCCTTGACTCTGGCTGTGACTGGGCGAGTCAAGACAGCGACGTCGCCGACGCCAAGCGGTTACCCCGCGGCCACGCCGACGGCCTCGCCAGCGGAGCCGCCCGATCGGCCGCCGTCGGTGCCGCCGCCTTGGACGTCCACCTCAGCAGCGTCAGCTTGGGCATCGTCTTCGCCGACGACAGCGCTGCCCGTCGGGGGCGACATACCGTGCGGAACCATCTAGACGAAATCGCCGAGGCTGGTGGCATGGAGCACTACACTGGCCCGCTGCCAGCAGGCTTTACCCTGACTGCGCCCTACACGATTCCGTGCAGTTGGTCGAGGGCCGAGAGATGGTACTATGTCCTCAACTGCTCTGCCTGCGGCAGGAAAGGCGTTACTGCTGCCGGCATTGGCAAGAGCCCGGAGACATGGGCCCGAGACAAAGGCTGGAAGCCTCCCAACAGCGGCTCGGCCAAGTGGACACGGATTGTGTGCCCTTCATGTACAGGTGTGTAAGTCTGAGCATGAAAATTCTCCAAGCGCGAGAAGGTTTCCTAGCCCACGCCGCGAAACCAGTGCTCCTGGCTCTACGCTGTCCCAAGCATGAAGGCTTATTGAAGCCCTAGACCCTAAACATTTTTCCCGCTGGCCCCGGCGATGTTGAAGGTTTTTGAGGCGACTCCACGGGGCGGTAGTGGGGTTCCGATGCAATTGAAACTGACCATTTGAAGGCCTGTGGCAAAAAGTGGGCACAGTAGTTTGCGCGAAGCACTTACTCTTTGATTAGGGTTTAGGGTTTAGGGTTTCCTGGGTATCGGGTTAAGTGGGTTTGGGGTTTCGGCTTCTCAGGCTGCGCCGCGAGGCGCAAAGGCTGCAGTTTGTTTGGAGGGTTCTGGGTGGCGGGTCATCAATTTATGGTCCAGCGCTCAGGGTTTTGCGGCTCCTAAAGGGACCCCGGTAGAACAGCACTACAAGTCTGGCGGCATGAATGCATGACTGTCGACCTGTAACAAAACGACCGAACGAGAAGTCGACGCCTGTGCCGTAGCCATGTGCGTCTTCAAGTGCTCGGACATGTTGAGGCGGCTCCCAAAGGGACCGCGGTGGAATAGCACAAGAAGTCAGGCACCATGTGTGCATGAGTACAGGTACTGCAGTAGCCCAAAAACAAAACTCGCACAGAAGTGTAAGTTGTAGGGTTCGGTGCCGTGCATTGAGCATGTTGGTTCCCACAACGTCGAGCGGCGGAGAAGAGAGCGAGGCGGTGACCGAGAAGGAGCTGCTCGCCATCCGCGAGCAGGTGCTTGGATTTCCGGCCCCGCAGCAAGATCTGCTACTGCGGATGCTTCGCCTTCCTCCGCAGCAGCAAATTTTGGTCCAGAGTGCCTTGACTGTGGCTGTGACTGGGCGAGTCAACACAGCGCCGTCGCCGACGCCAAGCGGTATCGGCCGCCGTCGGTGCCGCCGCCTTGGACGTCCACCTCAGCAGCGTCAGCTTGGGCATCGTCTTCGCCGACGACAGCGCTGCCCGTCGGGGGCGACATCCAGACCGTGCGGAACCATCTAGACGAAATCGCCGAGGCTGGTGGCATGGAGCACTACACTGGCCCGCTGCCAGCAGGCTTTACCCTGACTGCGCCCTACACGATTCCGTGCAGTTGGTCGAGGGCCGAGAGATGGTACTATGTCCTCAACTGCTCTGCCTGCGGCAGGAAAGGCGTTACTGCTGCCGGCATTGGCAAGAGCCTGGAGACATGGGCCCGAGACAAAGGCTGGAAGCCTCCCAACAGCGGCTCGGCCAAGTGGACACGGATTGTGTGCCCTTCATGTACAGGTGTGTAAGTCTGAGCATGAAAATTCTCCAAGCGCGAGCAGGTTTCCTAGCCCACGCCGCGAAACCAGTGCTCCTGGCTCTACGCTGTCCCAAGCATGAAGGCTTATTGAAGCCCTAGACCCTAAACATTTTCCCGCTGGCCCCGGCGATGTTGAAGGTTTTTGAGGCGACTCCACGGGGCGGTAGTGGGGTTCCGATGCAATTGAAACTGACCATTTGAAGGCCTGTGGCAAAAAGTGGGCACAGTAGTTTGCGCGAAGCACTTACTCTTTGATTAGGGTTTAGGGTTTAGGGTTTCCTGGGTATCGGGTTAAGTGGGTTTGGGGTTTCGGCTTCTCAGGCTGCGCCGCGAGGCGCAAAGGCTGCAGTTTGTTTGGAGGGTTCTGGGTGGCGGGTCATCAATTTATGGTCCAGCGCTCAGGGTTTTGCGGCTCCTAAAGGGACCCCGGTAGAACAGCACTACAAGTCTGGCGGCATGAATGCATGACTGTCGACCTGTAACAAAACGACCGAACGAGAAGTCGACGCCTGTGCCGTAGCCATGTGCGTCTTCAAGTGCTCGGACATGTTGAGGCGGCTCCCAAAGGGACCGCGGTGGAATAGCACAAGAAGTCAGGCACCATGTGTGCATGAGTACAGGTACTGCAGTAGCCCAAAAACAAAACTCGTCACAGAAGTGTAAGTTGTAGGGTTCGGTGCCGTGCATTGAGCATGTTGGTTCCCACAACGTCGAGCGGCGGAGAAGAGAGCGAGGCGGTGACCGAGAAGGAGCTGCTCGCCATCCGCGAGCAGGTGCTTGGATTTCCGGCCCCGCAGCAAGATCTGCTACTGCGGATGCTTCGCCTTCCTCCGCAGCAGCAAATTTTGGTCCAGAGTGCCTTGACTGTGGCTGTGACTGGGCGAGTCAACACAGCGCCGTCGCCGACGCCAAGCGGTTGCCCCGCGGCCACGCCGACGGCCTCGCCAGCGGAGCCGCCCGATCGGCCGCCGTCGGTGCCGCCGCCTTGGACGTCCACCTCAGCAGCGTCAGCTTGGGCATCGTCTTCGCCGACGACAGCGCTGCCCGTCGGGGGCGACATACCGTGCGGAACCATCTAGACGAAATCGCCGAGGCTGGTGGCATGGAGCACTACACTGGCCCGCTGCCAGCAGGCTTTACCCTGACTGCGCCCTACACGATTCCGTGCAGTTGGTCGAGGGCCGAGAGATGGTACTATGTCCTCAACTGCTCTGCCTGCGGCAGGAAAGGCGTTACTGCTGCCGGCATTGGCAAGAGCCCGGAGACATGGGCCCGAGACAAAGGCTGGAAGCCTCCCAACAGCGGCTCGGCCAAGTGGACACGGATTGTGTGCCCTTCATGTACAGGTGTGTAAGTCTGAGCATGAAAATTCTCCAAGCGCGAGCAGGTTTCCTAGCCCACGCCGCGAAACCAGTGCTCCTGGCTCTACGCTGTCCCAAGCATGAAGGCTTATTGAAGCCCTAGACCCTAAACATTTTCCCGCTGGCCCCGGCGATGTTGAAGGTTTTTGAGGCGACTCCACGGGGCGGTAGTGGGGTTCCGATGCAATTGAAACTGACCATTTGAAGGCCTGTGGCAAAAAGTGGGCACAGTAGTTTGCGCGAAGCACTTACTCTTTGATTAGGGTTTAGGGTTTAGGGTTTCCTGGGTATCGGGTTAAGTGGGTTTGGGGTTTCGGCTTCTCAGGCTGCGCCGCGAGGCGCAAAGGCTGCAGTTTGTTTGGAGGGTTCTGGGTGGCGGGTCATCAATTTATGGTCCAGCGCTCAGGGTTTTGCGGCTCCTAAAGGGACCCCGGTAGAACAGCACTACAAGTCTGGCGGCATGAATGCATGACTGTCGACCTGTAACAAAACGACCGAACGAGAAGTCGACGCCTGTGCCGTAGCCATGTGCGTCTTCAAGTGCTCGGACATGTTGAGGCGGCTCCCAAAGGGACCGCGGTGGAATAGCACAAGAAGTCAGGCACCATGTGTGCATGAGTACAGGTACTGCAGTAGCCCAAAAACAAAACTCGTCACAGAAGTGTAAGTTGTAGGGTTCGGTGCCGTGCATTGAGCATGTTGGTTCCCACAACGTCGAGCGGCGGAGAAGAGAGCGAGGCGGTGACCGAGAAGGAGCCCCTTCATGTACAGGTGTGTAAGTATGAGCGAAACCAGTGGTCCTGGCCCTACGCTGTCCCAAGCATGAAGGCTTATTGAAGCCCTATACCTTAAACATTTTCCCGCTGGCCCCGGCGATGTTGAAGGTTTTTGAGGCGACTCCACGGGGCGGTAGTGGGGTTCCGATGTAATTGAAACTGACCATTTCAAGGCCTGTGGCAAAAAGTGGGCACAGTAGTCTGCGCGAAGCACTTACTCTTTGATTAGGGTTTAGGGTTTAGGGTTTCCTGGGTATCGGGTTAAGTGGGTTTGGGGTTTCGGCTTCTCAGCCTGCGCCGCGAGGCGCAAAGCCTGCAGTTTGTTTGGAGGCATGACTGTCGACCTGTAACAAAACGACCGAACGAGAAGTCAACGGCTGCTGTCGCCTTGTTGCTTGATTGCTTGTGCTTCTGGACACATGCGCGCGCAGTACCTATCTTGACTTCGCCCGCTTGCCCAGTGCCTGCATGATCGTGCAGTAGCCATGTGCGTCTTCAGGTGCTCGGACATGTTGAGGCGGCTCCCAAAGGGACCGCGGTAGAATAGCACAAGAGGTCAGGCAACATGTCAGCATGAGTGCAGTACCCCAAAAACAAAGCTCTTCACATAAACCGTGCACATGTGTCTAGCAACCACGCCCCGCCGTGACACTGCACTGCGTCGTACAGGACCCGAATTCCCGGACAGGTATTAGGAAAACACGGATGCCTGAGCTACGAAGACTGGCGCTCAACTGTACTGCATTGCCACATTGACATTGTCTGTCGCTGTCAGCAGACCGACACGGTGCTCAGAGTGGCGAACTTTATTCTAGCGTTGCAGCCATGGCCAATGTGTATGATGGTCAAGCTCAGGTTCTCGTCGAGTATCTGATGCAGGAGTTCGCCTTCGGTCCCGGCCATGACTGCACCCTCACGTCCGAGGCTGCTGCTGTTCTCCAATTTATAAATGAATGGGCCAGGAAGCACCTTGTCCTTGGAAGGCGTCCACACCCAGTCGCCTTGGAGGCCCTGGATCATGCCATGGAAGGCTTGCTCCCTGACACCTGGGCTGAGCTTCGCCTGGACCCTGAACGACTGGGGCGTGCGCTGCCGTGCAGTGAGCGACAGAGGTCAAACATTCTCCTCTTGTTGCACGCCCTGCATGATGTGGGGGCCAGGACAAAGACTGTCGCGACGCTGTTCGACTTGGGTTTGTCCTCGTCTTCGCCTTCGCCTATGCCTGAACATCCAGTGGTGAACGGTCCACCCCAAGATGAGATTTCGTCGCCTTTGGCTTCAAGAAGCAAATCGTCAGGCACAGGGGATGCTGTTTCACACTCAGTGGCTCTCCTCAGGGGACATGCAGCCTCGCCTTCGTCTTCTCCAGCTGCTGGCAGCGCCGGCCTGTTCCCGGTAGATCTGGGGCAGTGTGACTCGCACTTTGCTGTCCTGCTGCAAAAAATGTTGAAGGAAGACAGCGATCCCCAGTCCCAGAGCGGCAGTACGTAGGGTGCTCATACCCGGCTATTTGGGGTGGCGGGTCATCAATTTATGGTCCAGCGCTCAGGGTTTTACGGCTCCCAAAGGGACCCCGGTAGAACAGCACTGCAGCATGAATGCACGACTGTCGACCGGCAACAAAACGACCGAAGACGAGAAGTCGACGGCTGCTGTCACCTTGTTGCTTGATTGCCTGTGCTTCTGGACGCATGCGCGCGCAGTACCTATCTGGACTTCGAACGCTTGCCCAGTGCCTGCATGATCGTGCAGTAGCCATGTGCTTCAAGTGCTCGGACATGTTGAGGCGGCTCCCAAAGGGACCGCGGTGGAATAGCACAAGAAGTCAGGCACCATGTGTGCATGAGTACAGGTACTGCAGTAGCCCAAAAACAAAACTCGTCACAGAAGTGTAAGTTGTAGGGTTCGGTGCCGTGCATTGAGCATGTTGGTTCCCACAACGTCGAGCGGCGGAGAAGAGAGCGAGGCGGTGACCGAGAAGGAGCTGCTCGCCATCCGCGAGCAGGTGCTTGGATTTCCGGCCCCGCAGCAAGATCTGCTACTGCGAATGCTTCGCCTTCCTCCGCAGCAGCAAAATTTGGTCCAGAGTGCCTTGACTGTGGCTGTGACTGGGCGAGTCAACACAGCGCCGTCGCCGACGCCAAGCGGTTGCCCCGCGGCCACGCCGACGGCCTCGCCAGCGGAGCCGCCCGATCGGCCGCCGTCGGTGCCGCCGCCTTGGACGTCCACCTCAGCAGCGTCAGCTTGGGCATCGTCTTCGCCGACGACAGCGCTGCCCGTCGGGGGCGACATCCAGACCGTGCGGAACCATCTAGACGAAATCGCCGAGGCTGGTGGCATGGAGCACTACACTGGCCCGCTGCCAGCAGGCTTTACCCTGACTGCGCCCTACACGATTCCGTGCAGTTGGTCGAGGGCCGAGAGATGGTACTATGTCCTCAACTGCTCTGCCTGCGGCAGGAAAGGCGTTACTGCTGCCGGCATTGGCAAGAGCCCGGAGACATGGGCCCGAGACAAAGGCTGGAAGCCTCCCAACAGCGGCTCGGCCAAGTGGACACGGATTGTGTGCCCTTCATGTACAGGTGTGTAAGTCTGAGCATGAAAATGCTCCAAGTGCGAGCAGGTTTCCTAGCCCACGCCGCGAAACCAGTGGTCCTGGCTCTACGCTGTCCCAAGCATGAAGGCTTATTGAAGCCCTAGACCCTAAACATTTTCCCGCTGGCCCCGGCGATGTTGAAGGTTTTTGAGGCGACTCCACGGGGCGGTAGTGGGGTTCCGATGCAATTGAAACTGACCATTTGAAGGCCTGTGGCAAAAAGTGGGCACAGTAGTTTGCGCTAAGCACTTACTCTTTGATTAGGGTTTAGGGTTTAGGGTTTCCTGGGTATCGGGTTAAGTGGGTTTGGGGTTTCGGCTTCTCAGGCTGCGCCGCGAGGCGCAAAGGCTGCAGTTTGTTTGGAGGGTTCTGGGTGGCGGGTCATCAATTTATGGTCCAGCGCTCAGGGTTTTGCGCCTCCTAAAGGGACCCCGGTAGAACAGCACTACAAGTCTGGCGGCATGAATGCATGACTGTCGACCTGTAACAAAACGACCGAACGAGAAGTCGACGCCTGTGCCGTAGCCATGTGCGTCTTCAAGTGCTCGGACATGTTGAGGCGGCTCCCAAAGGGACCGCGGTGGAATAGCACAAGAAGTCAGGCACCATGTGTGCATGAGTACAGGTACTGCAGTAGCCCTAAACTGAACTCGTCGTAAACATCACGCAAGACAATTTAGCGCGCTTTGTTGCAGTAAACATGAGTTGCTTTTGCATTTCACAGGACGCCTTGCGCCGAATGGGAGCCGCCACCCGAGTTGGTCGTGCCTGCGTATTCCTCTTCGAACAACAGCACCCTTAGTACAGCCAGCTGCCTTGAGCGTCAGTCCTTGCAGCATCGCAGGCGCATCAGCTGGCGGAGAGGATTGCGCGCTTGGGAGAGGTTGCGTTTCTTCGGGCAGTTCTTACGGCGTCGCGGTATTCATCGTTTTTGAGACTCGGCATCGGGCATGGCCTCTCCGGCCGCCCGCGAAAGTTGTGGCTCTAGCTGTTTCGCATGGCTGTCGGGCTGCTGCAGCAAGTTGTGTGTCGTGAGATGGTCAATGGCTGTTGAGATCTTGTCCGCCAGGCCATTCCGGAACCAAGCATCGCGCTTGTTTCGAAACCATTCACGGACTGTTGCAGCCGTGAAAACTCGGTGCTTGGGCGCTTTTTCGAGTATGAGCCTCATGAGCTCGTCTTCTGGTGTCTGCAGCTCCTCTTCTTCCCGGTCCTTGGGGTCGGCCAGGAGACACGTTGGCGCTTTTTGATGAGGCAGATCCATGCGCAGCTGACATTATGTTTTCCCAGGTGCACAATATCCCCACGGCTATGTGCTCCTCCTTGCAGCCCGGCGTCTCCCACCAGTTTGGGGCTGGGAGCCTGCGAAAGCTTCCCCAGGCCTTCGTTCTGGGTCCTTCGGTTTTGTTCGGGATCAGCCTGGGGTCCTGGCAGTCGTCTGGTTCTGGCGCAATGGTTTCCACGGCGCAATCAAGCCTGCCAGTGTGCTTTGCAGCCATTGCAGCTCAAATTGAACGTTCCGCTTGCGGACCGACGGCATTCTGCGCTTCTGACGTGGCGTGCTGCATGGCCGCCCCGCCGACAGGTGCCAGCTTGGTGACGGGGCGGAGCATGGAGTCCAGAAATCCAGGCCTATACAGAATTTTACAGAGACTTGACTCGACGCAGGATGGGAAAATGCAGCTAGCCGGTTACCCACGCTGACGCGACGATGCTTTCCGTGCTTGTTGCTGAGCTTCTTCGTTTGTGTTTTTACTTGCTCCGTCGCCTTTTCGGCAAGGAAGCGATGTCGCGTGCTTGTCCACGTTTGTCCTCAGGCTCCAGCTCCGGCGGCTCCCGCAGGGACCGCGGTAGTCATTATTTCGAGTTCTAAACTACTGCCACAGAAACTTGTACTGCATAGGCAGAGCGCGCGATACTTGTTTCGACTCCAACCGCCTGTGTTGCCAATGGCGGACCCTCTGGACGCAGATCCTCGAGTCCTGGCTTGCTACTTAGATTACCCAGATTTGCCTTCCTCGGAGTCGGAGCATGATTCGCCATGGTCGCGGAATTTCAAGAAGTGGCACCAGAAGCAGAATGCTGCTTTCGGCGGCTTCAGTGCCGCGGCCACACCGGCAGCGGCCGCGTCTGCAAGCTCCACTCATGAGCAAACCCAAGAGAGTCTTTCCGAAAGTTCCTCTTTGGGACTTGCGCTTTCGCCAGAAACAGCCTCGCCAGGCCTTTCCCAGCGTTCCTCTTGGGCTGACACTTCCCCGCCTTCCCCTTCTCCAGAAGCTGATTCTGCCGAGCACACGTCTGCAGCCCAGCAGGTTCCAGAGGTGACAGATGCAGAACGCAGTTATCTGCAAGATGAGCATGCTCGCTCGTCTGCGTCTTCTGGTGGGATGCCGCCGGAGGTGCAAGAGCAACTACAAGAAGAAATAATGATCTTGGACCAGCGTCGCGACATGCCTACAGACGTGCTTGCGCAGCTGCGAGAAGAGCAGTCCTATTTGGCTGCCGCGTGGTCTGCTTTGCGGAGGCCGTGTTCTTCTGCGCGCTTGCCTTCGAGGACACCTGGGAGAGGCTGCTTGCCTTTTTTGTAAATTGCCTTGTCTAGTATATCTCGAAGGCTTCTGGTTCAAGCTTGAACGTGCGTTCTGCGGTCAGGTCGGCAAGTTGAGCGTCCTGACGCTGCCTCTGCTGGTCGCCCCACAAAGTATGGTCGCTGTGGCAGCTGTGGCCAAGCTTTCACGCCTTACATCCACCAAACGGGCGGGTTGGCTGGCAAAGTGGTTCTGCGCTGCAAAGCCTGGTTTCGTCATGATGACAGAGGCCGGCGACAATGCTGGAACCACAAACTCTACAACGGCCCTCTTGCTGAACTACCAAAAAGCATTCAGCGCTGGCATGCAGAGACGAACAGTGACATCCGTGTCGCACTTCGACGTGGAGCCGAGGACACAGGGACCCGGGGAAGTGGGTCCCCTTTTCGTCCCCCCCCTGAAGCCGAAATTCGAAGCCCAAATTTGAGGCCGTCCTTCGGCTCGCGCTTACTGAAGTCGCAACTTGCCTGAAGTCGAAATTTGAAGCCGAAATTCCGGTTTCTCGACGGCTGAAGGCTAATATGTTTTTGAAACATGGACATGCGCACTTCTGAAGAACGACACATGTGCGGCTGCGCGCATCATCGGAGTTGTCCTTGCGTGCACGCATGATCACGCGCTGCTGCCTACTCTGTGTATTCCTGACGCATTGCCGCCTTCAAGTTGCATGCAGTCAGCGATCACATGCAGGACACGGCCACAGACCAGGAGGGCCAGTGACTTAAAAAGTGAGTTTGCCTGGGGCTGATGAGCCAGCCGCTCGATCAAATTTATAATTCGCTGCCACATTAATTGGTTCGCCGCTCCGTACAGGCGGCTTCTGCGACACGAGCGCAGAGGCCAAATCGGCAAGTTGCACTTCTGCCAGTCTGGAAACCCAGGCCTACAGAGACTTCGACACACAGTCTCGCGTAAAAAACAAATGCTGGCAGATGTCAGATGTCACATGACGCTCTGTTGTTCTGCAAGCTGATCGTTTGTAGGCCTTGTCCGAAGGCCTAATGCTGCCGTCGTCTCGTGGCAGGGGTTCTGTTATATACCTGCCAGCCCTCGCAGCAACGCTTGAAAAAACGATTCTTTCATTGGCGCTGAAATCACTTTCATCGCGCCTGGAAGTTGCAAGCCTATTATACGGGTTGAGGACTCTGTGGTTCCCCCAAAGACAGCGGTGGAGCGGTACGAGAAATCTAGTTCTTTGAGTGCACGCGTGAGAACACCTGCTACAGCGACACGCAATTTGTATCTCCGCAGCTCAGCTAGCTCTTTTTCCGACCGCTCTCATGATTATTCGACAGAGTTTCGCGCGT